TGCAGGGTCTGATGTAAGTATTTTGGTTATGGTCCCTTGATTGAAAAAAACTGGATTCTTAAGAGTCTAACTCACTAATGGTTGTTATTTATAACAGGAATCTGAATCGGGTGATGAGGCAAGCAGTCCAAATCCTACTCTGGGTAAGAAACAAAAGTTGGAGGAACAAGGAGAGCTACTGGAGTCAGTGTCATCCAAGAGGAATTTACTGGATCAATTTTCATCCAGTAGAGATGCAAAGAAAACAAAGAATGCTTTTGTTAAACAGGAGAAGAGTTAATGTACTGTTCTGTGATCAAATGATGGACAAAGATTATTGGAATTTGGTGATTTGCAGGCACTATGGTGTTGTAATCAGGATTTTTATAATATGTACTCCTAAGTACATATTATTTTCTAATTGGTGGTGTTTTCTAAACAGGATTCTTATAATATGTACTCCAAGTACATATTCATGCTGCTTGGCCCTAGACATTAAGCACTTTTTATAAGTGTTTTTTTATGCTACTGTTTATTTCTAAATTTGTATGCTTTATTTGATGGATTCTCTATTCTCTTAAATCATTGCAGGTATGCCATAGAAAATAGGCACTTTGTATAAGTGCTTTCTTATGATACTGTTATAAGTGACTTTATTATGCTTTATTCTATGCTTTGTCTATTTTCCTAAATCATTTCAGGTATGAATAGGCAGAGATCAGTTAGCATGCACAAGAAACAGTATGATAATGAAGGCTACTGGCAGTGGATCAAAATAATGTACTTAGCTTTTAGCAATAGTAGTTGTCCCCTTTTGTTCCTTGAACTTTCAGTCCACCTGAAAGAAATGAATTGTACTTATATCAGTTCCAATACTGTATCTCTGAATTGATTTTCTTTTATTTGAATGAATAAAAAAACGTAAATAACCATGTCATACCTTATACACATATTTGACTCCAATCAATCCATTTGAGCTTTAGTGGCTTTTCAGGACATTACACAATATTCATAGGACTATAAATGCAAGTACAATTCATTCTAATATCACAAATAAGGACTAAAATTATATTTCAAAGTCAAGTTGTCCTTGCTAAATAAAGGTAAGCTGGATTTACTTAACTTCAAGTAAACTCTTATCAGATATTGGAAAAGAGTTTAGTGCTCAATCAAATAGTTGAATAATAGACCAATTAAACAGAATAGAAGCAAATATGTAAACTCTTTTCATGTAGTGAAGTTTTAATTCATAGTCAACTACTATTATAAAACCTTGAATAAAGCAGTACACTGAAATTTTAACAAAAAATGTATAGTTATCGGAACTATAACACTAAACAAATAGAATCAAATCATGGAGGTACACATGAATTGTTTTCCTCTAATGACTAATTATCTCCAACTATAACTGTTATTGTATTCGAAAGTGTGCAACCTTCATTTCATTCAAAGAGGACACTAACTAATAAATTACAGAAAATAGATCAACATTTACACATCTGGACAACAAGGTTAGCTAATTAAGTCTGCACAACGTAACTCCTTCATTTGTAGTCTTTCGCAGTAAGGAAATTCAATTTGCTACTGTTTGATGCTCCAAAAGGTTTAATAGTCCTCCTAGGGCAAGATTTGAACTCTGAAATCTAATGGCATCAGAAATTCATATCATCATTTGCCATTTGCTTGAAAACAAATGTTAGATCATGAGGAAATTTTTTATATCAGAATTTAAGTCTATTCAAAAACAGAAGATAATAAGAGAAATAAACTGAGATTAAAAAAAGGTATTGTACTGACATTTGTAACTTTAATTCAATGTGCTACTGTTTCATGCTCCAAAAGGCTTAATAGTATGCCATAGAATCATGGGAACTCTGAAATCTAAGTGCATCAGATATTACTATCATCATGTGCCAGGTGCTTGCAAACAAGTGTTAGAAATTGAGTAAATGAGTTATAACAGTTTTGAAGTCTATTCAAAAACAGAAAATAAAGAGAAAATTATACTGAGCAGCAAAAATAAAAGTTGGCTAACCAAATTGGAAAACAAAATACACATCTATTAATGTTTTGGAATTGTAATCAAAACTTCAACATAATATATTGCAGGATAAATCTGGGAATAAATCCAATCTTTTAAATTTGTGTCTTTTCTGCTTCCCAATAGATGTAATCATTAATTAATAAAGTAATAGCAAATTCTAGGGAATTTCATTTTCCTTTAATGGTTTCCACTCACATATAGTCAGATATTCACATTTAAATGCAAAGTACACCATTCTTTTTCAATTACACCTTTCTTTTCAAATAAACTCACTACTGTCAAAAAAGAATTCACAAAGCACTGAGCAGTTCAAATCAATGAAGAAGTTAACAAAATCAACTGTAATCGGCACCAAAAGGAAGGATACAATTTCAAATAAAGGTACGTTACTGATAAGAATTCATCAAAACTTATATTACTGTCACGGTTTCATCAAAACTTATCATGCAATTTCATACTGTGTATCCTGTTATCAATTTGTGTTTATTTAAAGTGGTGAATTAAAATCTGTAGAACAAGGTTAAGCATACAGTACGGTTAATTTTGTACTAATTATTCATCATCAATTTTAGGAGAGCTAAAATTTAGAGCCTGAAATTTCAAACAATCAAGTGCAACAGATAATAATAATATGCAAGTTTTCTTACTTCAATACCCTAACAATACACGCATGCAGTTTACCATACATAAATCGAATTGAAATTCTATTTACATCTAAATTTTTGGGGCAAAAATAGTAGAGATTAGGTCAGCGTGAGTACGAAGGTTACTTACAGTCCTTCGATGATTTACCTCCATGATTTGAAAACCCTAATTTCAACATGGACGCAATTGCAAATGTCAACGACTGCGTTCATCCATAGCTCACTCAGACTCATTGAGGGTTTCTGTAGATTGAATTCGTAGAAACGACTAAGCCTCACCGTAGATATAGGGTTTCGCCCAATTCTGTAGCTATCAATCGAACCCCAACACAATTGCGTCGGATCTCTAATCAAGAAGAAAATTGCGAACATTATCATATTCAAGCTTTCGACGCCATTAGCGTCTATCGAATCTGGATTTATACAATAGATAGATAGAGTTTGGGAGAAATGGACAGAGCGAGACGTAGAAGACAGGAAACGGTGACCGTGGTGACGAAGGGTGTCCAGAAAGCATATTTCTGGACCCTTCCACAGTTGACTCATTCGTTTATATATATATATATATATATATATATATATATATATATATATATATATATATATATATATATATTTATTTATTTATATATATATATATATATACCTTTAAATACAGCAAATCATTCCCATATACGGAGTATATACCAAAAAGGAGTATTGGTATATACTCCTTTTTGGTATATACTCCGTATATGGGAATGATTTGCTGTATTTAAAGGTATATATATATATATATATAAATAAATAAATATATATATATATATATATATATATATATATATATATATATATATATATATATATATATATATACCTTTATATATATATATATATAGTGAGAAAGAGAGGTAGAGTTTTAAGTTATGGTTAAATTCTATATTTGGTAGTGAAATATACTATTTTAGTATGCTTATATGTACATATGTTTTTTTTATAGTACGATATTCATATTTGTTAAATTTGGTTTATTTACTGTGTTTATTATATTTAAATAAAACATAGTATTTCATTTAATTTATTGTTAAATACAATTGTTTGTTAAATCAATTTTGTTAAATAAGCATGTACATTTTAACTATATCTACTAAGATGATCATATTACTACTTATTTAATTATTGGTTTATAAGTATTTTCTGGTTTGTATGTTAGAAAATGATGGTGCGGAATATGGAACATTCAACACGCCAAAACGAGTTGCGATTTCTGGTAATTAATTTCTTTCTATATTGCAATGTCGGTGCTATATATAGTGTACTATAATAATGTTAACATTTTGGATTTTTTTATTTTAGACAATTCAATTACAATAGAAATGTCAAGTGGTACATCTCAGATTACGTGTGTCAATGTAACACCTCAAAATAATAGCCGTCTAACTGGTACACACTACAGAACTCTTTCAGGACAATCTTTCAACGGATACAATGGTATGAATCATTATATATCTTTAAATATTGTCAATTGTTCTCATTATTGGATATGTTTTACTGTTTAATATATTTAATATGCTTAATTTATAGTAAATGATTAGAGTGTTATGTTTGGAGTATTTGAATTTGGGCAATTATAAAAAAAAAATTCTACTTTTTCTATAATTTAGTGTATTTAATGTGGCAAATGTAACCCATATGTACTCGGTTAATAGTAACACAATTGGGAAATCATGTTATTGAGGGGAAAATCATAGCTGGCAATAACGCAGGTACAAAGGTTCTGATACCCAAACTATCTTTGACTCCTTCGGACCCAAGACTTCCTTTCAAGTTTCAAAGAAAGCAATTCCCGCTTATGTTATCATATGCAATGACAATCAACAAAAGTCAAGGTCAGACGCTTTCACATGTGGGTTTGATATTGAAAAAACCTGTTTTTAATCATGGCCAATTATATGTTGCAGTATCTCGAGTCAGTAATCCGGATGGTCTTAAGGTCTTAATTTGTGGGGAATCTAGAGGTCTTATAAACAAGACCCAAAATGTAGTTTATAAAGAAATCTTTAATAATTTGTAATTGTTTAGTTTACTTATCAATAAAATATTATATTTTCTGTATTTCTCACTTCTATAACCTTATTCAACCTATATAATGAATAAAACAATTTTGATGATATTTCAACATAATAATAGGACTGTGCATCGCACGGGTGCAACTACTAGTTGATAATTAAGCTATGGAATGTTTCAATTTTCCCAATAACGAATTAGTGGATAGTGGCGTACATACCAAACTGTGTTCCGCATTTACTGGATCTTACCCCAATCGGTCATCGCTAATCTCCGCCTCTCTGGCGCCCTAGTAGAGCTTCCTCAACAATAACTCCATTTTCTCTATCAATCAAGCCTGCGTATACACATCTCAATCTCCTATTGACTCTGCATCTCTCTACCCCTAGCCGCAGCCGTCGCGTCGCCGTCGTCTTTCTATCTCAAAAGTAAGCTCGTTTCTCTAGCGCAATTTCGAATTCTTAATCCCTTCCTTCCAGATCTAGATTTTCGGTTTTATTCCGCGATTATGCTTTTTGCTGTTTGTGTTTGTTTATCCATGCGGATTCACCGATCAGGATTCTGCGTCTCAGTATTTTTAGCTCGAAATTCCGACTTTTTTTTAATTATTGAATCAGTTAATAGGATTTAAATTCTGTTGTGCGATTGATATTCTTGTATGCGTAGGTATCGTCACCATGCGCGTTATGTGGTAGTGGTAGTGGTAGTGCTAGTTCTAGGTCTGGATACATTCTTATACGGATTAATCTCTTGTTTCGAGTAAATACAACTGTTAAATAGAGGTGTTTGGTTTAGCTGTGTAGGACGTAAATGGCGGATCAGATAATGATTTGCATTATACGAGTTTAGTGTGCGGGTATTTGGTGGGCATTTAAGCACTTTCTGCTTAATTAGATGTGCTATAATGCTGGAAATTTTGCATTATTTTTTAGTTGTTCCAGTTTGGAAGAAGGTAGCTAGGGTGTTTTCTCGACCATTCCATTTTGTGAGTTTCTAACTGTGTGTAAGGTGCAAATCAGTGAAAGCACGCCTGATGATGAGAATAGTGTAATTTCTAGTTGGTCAGGGTTTAGATTATAATTGTTCTGTTATGTTTCATCTAATATATATGCTGAGCTCATGGCTTGAAGGTACTCATTTGACTTGTATTCTTTTGTCTAATGGGATCCTTGTGCTGTCTGCAACAAGCTTACATTGTGAAAGTAGGTCTGTTGCTTCATTTTAGATTAAATTGTTTATTGTCTTTGCTGATCCAAAGAAAAGGAATAGTGACTCTTCAATGGATGATGTGAAAGTTTTTACCCCGTTATCTTTGTTGATTTAAAAATGAATTTTCAATGTGAATGGAGTACTTTACAAGTAAAATCTTAACTGGGACTAGTCTGTAGCTTAACCATAGGTGCAACTTTCTGGAATATGAAATGCCTTAGGAGTACAGTGTGGGCTGACTTTATGTTTTGGATTTATACAGTTTTGGTGAACTCCATTGATATTTGAATGATACACAGTTATGTGGAGAATTAGTGAATATGTGATGATATTACTGTCTTTGTTTCGCTTGAGATTCAGAGAGTTGAATTATTCTTTTGATTTATTTGAAATCATCCATCAGACTATTTGTTTGAATAGTATTGGAAACATATGAATGGTAATTAGCCTGAAAGATAGTATTAAATTGTTGATTTTTTTTAAGATCAGCGATACTTTCACTTGGACCACCTAAGGAATAGGCCTTATACCACATTGATCCTCCTGTATTGGAAATTACACCTGAATCCACTGAACTTTTGTTTGGATTTCATCTTGGTCTGTAATAAATTTTCATTTCCCATTATATCCCTAGACTTCCACCAGCTTCTAAGAAAGTTTTTTCTAGGGTAAAGAGGAAAATACATTTCTTTTTAATGTATACAGGCATTCTTGGTGCATGGGAAGAGCATTCCTCAATTTTAGCACTTGTCAATAGAAGTGACATAATGTTGCAATCAGGGTAACAAGTAGTTCATTCTTGTAGGAGAGATAAAGTATACGTATCCTCACATTGAATTTATTTGGCCTGTAAATTAGAATTTGATGTCTTACCTTCCCCTAAAATGGACAAGTTCAACTGGTCAGTGGAGCTATTGCTTATACATGGATTCATGAAAGTGCACTTAGCATGACTATGCATTTTGATCAGACAAGTGCTTTTATCTCGTGATATTCTAAGGGTTCAATGCATCAAATGTTGCAGCATGTCGGTTACTGAAACACCCTTCAGGCCTAGACAGAAGCTTCTCGAGAAGCAGAGGTATTTCCAGAGCATTCACAGGCACACCTATTTGAAGGGTCCTCTTGATAAGGTCACCTCTGTTGCCATCCCACTTGCGTTGGCTGCTTCATCGTTGTATATGATTGTGAGTTCCAACCTAATTCTTTTTATTTCTTCACCTTTTCCCTCTAGAATGAGTCTCAACTGATATACTTTTCTTGCCAAATGATGTTTCAGGGCAGAGGGATCTACAATATGTCAAATGGTATTGGAAAGAAGGAATGAACGCTCAAATATGGCCAAAATTTCTGCTATATTTCAAATAGACAGATGCTTGATCTGGTTTACTTTTAGAATTATTGAAGCATTTTCTGGCAAATAAATGCCCGGTTGCAGACATACAAACATAACATTGCATGCGAATGTATGGGACAAACTCACTTTTGATGCATTTGCTTCTTTCTAGTTTCAGTCTGTATACTTTTGCTTTCTATTCATTTTCAATAAACTTTAATTTTTCTTATATCCTTTATATCAGAAACAAATAGTTTTACAATATAGGCATAGCTTATCGTGTTAAAAGATCAATATGTTTATATTAGAGCATCCTCAATAGGGGGTTTTGTTCAGTTTGAGGAAGAAAAAACCAACCTATAATTTTTTGATTAATGGGAGATGATTTTTTGGGGGGTTTTATTCTTGCAAATGTAGTTTTTTGTGGGCTTTAGGCTTTGAGAAGAAATGGGAAAATTAACCTTGCAGGTTCACATTTTGCACACATGTTGATTGTTAGGTTTTTTTTTTTTTTTTTTTTTTCCTTGCTTTCCTCTCTCCTCCCCTCTCTCTCCTACATAGATATGATAAAAACCCTTATAAAATTCTCAACTAATGAGGATGCTTAGTTTTGAGTTTTTGTGCATCGTAGAAGGGGGCAAGACAACATGGATGTTATACTTGAAGAATTAGGAGTGATTTACAGAGATTGTTTTATATGTGAACTAAGAAAATCAAAGAACCAACTAATTGAATTAAGTTTGTCGGACATTTGGCTTGGTAACTATAAAGTTGACCATTGGTCTTCTTAGTTGAGCTGATATGGCAACTTTTGTAAGTCAAAGAACAAGGAGAATAAGTCATAATTTTTATTCTAAGGTCTGTCTAATGCCAAATTGCAAACAGCAAACAGCTAACTGTGATGGAGATTCAAATACTATCATCTTGTATATGCTGTTTTTGACCAAACTGCAATCTTAAATCTGGAGAGGGCCATTTATTATCTGACTTTGTTACACATGTTGCCATGAATAACTAAGAATAACATCATATTCCTGATTTTTTGCCATGGAATCTCACTTCTGACCCTTGTGTGCCTGAATGTTGTCCAATAGCGAATCACAAGCGTCTTCGAGTAAATCTAGAACCTGTAAACAAAAGCAAGTCTATTATAGTAGGACAACATTGTCATGGCCTATGAAGAAACACTGTCAAGAACAAATGTTGTCTAATAAGAAGAAAGCCTTGGCCATTTGCCAATGTTCATTGCTCAAGAAAGTGAAGAAAACAGAGTATTTTTGGCTAGTAGAGGTCCAACCGACTAAAATCGCAAACAGATTTATGAACACGAGGCATTTCTACACATGAATGCTACAAAAACAATCAAGCAAAAAGGAAAAGATCATACTATAGGGTTTAAGTCCAAATCGTCATGATGGAAATTTCACAAGAAAATGGAATCAACACATAATTTGATTGTTAACGTTTTTTTAATGATTGATATTTAAAGCATCCATATCTGAGGCCATTCGAGAGCTCACTCTTCTTTCCGGTGTATAGTATTCTGATAAACATATAGTATTTCCACTAACACTATTCCCATATAACAAGTTGAAAGTCCATTAAACGAAACCAACACGGGTTATATCCAAAGTGGAAACCGCATATCCTAAGCTGCTCATTACTTGTCTCACTCTTCTCATTATTTTGGCTTCTTATTATGTTCTACCTTCTGTTAGGAAGGATTTAATTTCTCCCGCAACTTTACATAAAGAATACACTTTTCCAGATTGAACTACATTTTCAGTTAAGCTTGCTACACAATAATTAGGTTCAAACTGGCAAAGAATTGCGTACTTTTTGTTCACGAGTTTCTCTTGACATAGCCAATTGAACTACTTTTTGTTCATTAATATAACCGCTGAAATAGTTACTGGTCTCATTTGGCAAAGCTTATGATTATGGATTGTGAATAACCAATAACCCTCGAAGATAAGTTTAAGGTTCACGTTATCTATTTTACTTCATAGTACTTGCCCCAACACCCACAGTATATAATCAAACTTGATTCTAGAGTCTAATTAAGCGAAGAAACCTCTCAAGTGTGAAGCATTACCTTCTCAAAGCCTTGAGGTCCACCATAGTAAGGGTCGGGCACCTCAGTCTCGTCATGCTTTTTACAGTATGAACACATTAAACGAACCTGCGTAACACACAGATAAACCAACAAGATATTGCAGACAAAATTTCAAGCTCACTCTTGAGTCTTAATCCAATAATCCCACAAAACAGTTCTTTTGTACCTTCTCATGTGCATCGGCTGGTAATGCCTCTCTTCTGCTCCACTTCTCGAAAGCCCTTAGTATATCATCTGTTAAGCATTACAACCTATCAATTGAAGAATGTGTTCCATTTGGTCCACACGGGAACCTCAATTGGTTCCTGGGTGATAGATTGTGGACAAGGATGCAGGGGCGAGCGCTAACAGCCGAAGGGTGAGAGTTACACCCAAATGTGATGGGCTAGGGCACCAAGCACTAACTTCACACTTAACGAGCTGTTTAGTCACCGTGATTTACCCCTCTACTATCCTATCAGGCCAGAGTGATGGAGTCTAGGGCAAGGGTATTTCGCCTTTTGTGGGCAAGAATGTGTTCCATTTCAATTACAAACTTAACATGATTGTGAGACTTTGAACCAAGACCTTTCCTATGGCTTTAATATCAAACTGAATACCGTGTATTGTTTCAACTAAAAGTTTTTCTGATAGTGAGATTGCAATTTTATATTCTATGCATTATATGCTTAACACCATCTAGTTTCAGATCTTAAGGAAAATCATACAAGCATAATAATTGAGGGGGGAAGCAGGATTACCCTCAAAGAACTCACCTTTATTTTGTTCATCCATTGCAAGGATGAGATCAAAGTCTTTGAAATCAGACGGTCTAATCGGCCTGGAAATGGAAGTTATTTCAATCCCACGTTTCTTAGCAGCAGCCCTCATTCTTGGGTCTGCTTGATTACCCTTGAAGAAGAACCAAACAACACTCATAACCAATCATCATAAAATACACACACATATAAACAGGCTATATATATATATATATATATATATATATATATATTGCACGGGTAGCAGAATTGGTTCCTAACTGGAAGATTGTGGACAATATCGAGGCCCAGCAGCCACACTAAATGTGGTAAGCTTCTTGTGAGCATCTCCAGCCTAATGAGCCCGGGACAAAGATTTACCCCTCTACTATCCCGTCAATGGAGCCTAGGCCGGGACGAGGGAATTTAGCCTGTACGAGGATAAGCATATATATATATATACCTCGTGGTAATTGATAGTGCCGGCAGAATCAATGATGAAGTTAGAATGAAGGCCTTTTTTGTTGACCAAATCCGTGAACACGCCCTCAGCAGCCGGGCTTCTGCAGATGTTGCCCAGGCAAACAAAGAGAACTGAGAATGACTTGGTGGGCTCTTCGGCCCCTTGGCCTGTCCCCGATGACTGAGAAGACGCCATTGACGCTCTGGTTAAGGATCCTCTCTGGGTCTGCGGTGGTGGGAGTGAAATTTGCAGAGATGGGAATCTTGGAGTGAGGAGAGAGCTCAGAAATGGTGGTCTGAGAGGAGAGGGAGAGTGGTGGCAGTACTTTGGTTGTTTAAAGGATTTGGGCACAGATATGGAGGCTTTAGTATACAAGGCCCTCATGGCTGGGTTTCAAAGATCAAACAATCAAAAAGCAATATTGTACTCCAAAAAAAAAAATGGGATTTTTTATTTTTCTTTCTGGGTATATGCTAAAGAAAAACTGTGATTGGTTGAGGATTCTTGGTACAATGGTACCTAGATTGATAAGAATGATGATGTCTGGGCCAGTAGCATTCAACAAGATTGAAACAATATAATAGAAGAAGATTGGCCTGCAGAGAGTGAGAAGCACAAATGGAGAATAGGAATTTCGATCCAGAAAAGTGTATAATGTCTGAGGCCCAACTCAAGTACATCTTTGTAAACTTCTCCCAGAAATTTGCATGTTTTAATTTCTCAATTTTGAAGAACTTAGTTTAAATTTCGTGAAAAAAAAAGTACTAATAATAATAATTCAAGTCATTATATCGTGGACCGCGGTGCACATACACCGGGATCAAAACGGCGCTGTTTGGCTGTTTCTTTAAGTAAAGAAATAGTGCGCCATTACTCTTAACGGAGCGCACATTTTTTGGTGTATTAATTACCAACTGAAACTACAGTGTATCTAAACTGACACTACAGTATATCTAAACTGACACTGTCTCAAAATGATATTATAGTTGTGGTGAAATGAAACTGCAGTTTATATAAAATGAAACTGAATAACATTTTACATATTTGAGTGTATATTGTGCAATGAAGTTGTAGTTATATCGAAATGATTATGTAATTGCGTTTTAATGAAACTATAGTGTATATAAAATAAAATAAAATAACATTTTCACATATTTGAGTGTATAAATGTCGAATGGAACTGCAGTTATATCGAAATGAAACTGTAGTTGTGTTGAACTGAAACTGCAGTATATACAAAATGAAATTGAATAACAGAGTTATTTTTTGCGGAACGGCGCGAAATGGGTGCCGTTTCTTTTCATTAAACAAAACGACGTCGTTTTGAAGCTCGATGCATAATCGATTATGCACCGCGGTGCACGATATAAGTTGCCTAATAATTCTATGGTTTGGTTTGTGACAATATTGATTCAATAAATTATGTGTATAAGGACTATCATGCCCCATAATTAACAAAGATGTATTTTTTCTGTCACATTTTATGGGCAAATTATTGTGTGGATCATGGTCCACATAGTTGTGTGAATCATGAATGCAATATACATTTTTAATATACTAAAAATATATTATTTGTATATTATTTGATAATATATAAAAAATCGTGTACTTTTAAATAAGGGAAAACGACATTTTTGGCCCCTCAATTATTTTACTTCTAGAAATTTAGCCCCTGTCAATTGATTTGAGCAAATATAATCCTTTAATTGTTTAGGGAAAACTAGAAAAGGGTCAAATACACCCTCTAACTTTAGGTAAGAAGTCAATTAGACCCTCAAACATTTGAAAGTTGCAATTAGATACATTAACATATGAATTTAGTGCATAAAGGCCCAAAACCCTAATAGTGACCTGCAATAGCAAGTTAATAATTTATAGGCAGAACTCCGACGACTTTCCGGCGAAAAAGTAACAAGTAGGTCGCACAAGAGAATTTGGTGATTGTTGAGGGTGGGGCCAATTGCGCCAATTTTCTGAAAGGAAAAGAATTGGGTTTATTTTCCAATTGCGCGACGGATGCTGCGAATTGAGGATGGGGTTTGAGTATCTGGTCTGAGTTGTTAAGAGAAGGAAAGCAGAGAGATAGCAGAAATCCCAACGGAGCGAGATCTATTACCAAACTCTGCTATAGCACACTGGTTAGAGAATTGGCTAGTGTGTATTGTGTTTGCCTGTGATTGATTCCTAGGGTTGTAAATCCCTAATCCCTTATTAGTTCTAGTTTTGGTGGTTTTGATTTGGAAAATTGTTTAAGGTGGGATTTGAACACCTAATCTCTTGTTTAATATTTAAAACCTCTTCTACTTAAGCTACTTCAACCTTTGAGAAACTATCTTGGAGTATATATTATATTACTTAGGCTTGAAGGATTATCTATATTTAAAAGTATTTTTATAAAAAATTATAAATATGTTTGAAAAGGGTTTAAACTACAAAAAAGAAAGCTCTATTTCTAGAATTATATACTTATGAGCATATATGTTTTGATAAATGGGGTTATACTAAATTTTGAGAATATGTACATATATAATTATGTATGAGGCATAAGTGTATATATTTGATCATGTAGATACTTGAAACTTATTATATCTTTTTCCTAAAATTACTTAGCTATTAATACCATATATTTTGGGAAATACTATGTATCCCTAGAAAGGTTTAACTTAAGAATTTTTTGATCTATAAAGTGTAAAACCCATGGAGTAGAAATGCTAGATTCTTGAAGTGTTTGAGCTATTAAGTGATCTATTACTTGACTATGATGTGTTGTTAATGTTTTGGAGGTGTTGGATTTGTCTGAGGTTGATTTACAGATGAAAAGAGATCATCTGGTGCACAGACAGTGTGCACCAGATAAGGCAACGGCCCCAGCCAACGGCACAACAAGGGGACCGTTGGCTAGAGCCGTGGCCAGCCGGGCCTAGGGAACGGCCTTAGGAGAGGGCCGTTGCCTAGGGTCGGCAAGTCAGCGGCTTGAGAGGGCGGGCCTTGATGAGCCCCGCCCCATGGACCGTGAGTTGCTCCTGTGCAGTAGCGGGCCCTTGTGGCTCAGCTACGTGTCGTTTCGGACCAGGTGTCACTGGCCCTTGTGGCTCAGTACCTCGGGGCCGTCTTGACGCACGTTTGGGCTTTGATTTCGTTGAATTTGGATTAGAAATGAGTATGTTATGGTAGAATTTGTGTTGAAATGCTTAACAGTAATGATATTTGAGTTCACTGTTTTGGGACCTGCTTTGTTTTATCCTCCTGATGCTAATTGTGTATTGAATAGAGAAACATGAACACTTTGTGAATAAGAATTGTTAGAAAAGCATGAGTAGAATGTGTTGTATGTTTAATGGATTTCGAAGTCTATTTTGATGGTAGAAATATACAGAGTTTGATATGTTACAAACCAAGCATGATATTGTGGCTCAAACTTTGTATAGGTTCGTTCACGATACGGTGAAGTTCCTACCTCATCCATTTGTAAAGAAAGCGAGTCATTGCGACTCTAAGAAAAGAAAGAAAGAAAGCAAGTCATTGCGACTCTAAGAAAAGAAAGCAAGCGAGTCCTGGTGGCTCTAAGAAACCTCCACAGAAAAGTATTCTATTTTACAAACGAGTGTTTGAGTATACTTATAGTATTGCACGAGATTGCATAATAATAATCTTTGCACGATATTGCATTTGAGTATAGTATTGCATGAGATTGCATAACGAGAATGCTTGCACTAGATTGCATAAGGAGAATGATTAACCGAGATTGTATATTGAGCATGATTGCTTTAGTTGTATTTTGATGCCTTATATATCTAGTTTGCATGATGAGAACTTGAGAGCATGAAGATAATTTCGTATTGATTGATAGCATGCAATTGCTTGATGACATGAGTTCGTTATGATGAGTTTTGTTATGAGAAATATGTGTTGGAATATTCATATTGATGAGTTATTTAAATTTGAAGCATGCCTGTTGATATTATAGGTTGCGAGCATATAGAAAATCTTTGATGTATCTAAAGTTGTCTAAGTGTTGAGATTGTTTGATTGAGTTTGTGAACAAATATTTTTCCAAAGTATATACTGTAGTACTTTACATGGTTGAGTGTGGTTATACTTAGCTTCGTGCTAACGGGTGTTTTCCTACTTGTCTATGTGTTGTTTTGCAAAACTCCTTTCAGGTGGGCCCAGCGTTTGAGAGATGATCGAGTTAGACTAGCTTAGTAGATCTAGTAGTCTAAACTCTTATTATTATTATGATGTTTATTTGATGGATTGTAGACTTATGATGTTTATGTTTGGTGATAGACACCGGGGTGTTTTTCCCCTTATGACTTTTAAATTAAGCAATTTGAATGTTAGTTTGGTTTAATGATTTAGTTCCATCCTTAGCCTGTGCAATCACCGTGGAGAGGTGGTTGTGGCGGTGACATTCCCACTAGTTTATTATTTAATTTGTTTATCCGCTGCTTAGTTTATCTTGATTTAGATTTAGAACTGTAATTAAGTTTAAGAAAAGTGGGGTGTTACAAGGAGCTTGAGACTTACTGCGAGTCGCCATGGAGTGGGTGCGGACGGTTGGCCTCGTCGACTTACCACGCGGACGGTGTGCAACCTCTACAGGTTCGGCCGAGGATGAAGTAGTGTAACACCCCGTGTTACGCCCTTTAATCTCATATTAATTATTTAATTAATTCCGTTAAAGAATAGTTAAAAATGATTTAATCTGGCCAGTATCCCTTAATTAATTAATGTGGTCCACGAAGGACCGTGGACCCTTGTTTATAATAAGGACTTTAAGTCTATTAGGAATAAAGAAAGTGGGCCTTTACTACTCAGATTCTAATTAGGAATCCTAGACCTATATACCTGTTAGGAATAGAAAGTAGGTCTTTACTATTTAGACTTTGATTAGGATTCATAACTCTATAAATAGGGGCTTAGAAAGCAATTAGAACCCTTACCACCCATAGTTATATTACACGAAATTATTCCCAAGAGACTCCCCACCACCAAGCATAGGGAGATCAATCGGATGGAAATCTTAGAGAAGAACCTTAATAGCCAAGGGAGGATTAATTAAGGCTAAGAGGTAACCCATATCTTACAAAACCTATTTTCCTTGCTATATCTTATTTATTGGCTCATTTGATAATCATATGTATGATTCTGTGATTGAGTCTTGATAGAGCCCTTGCCTAGTATTTATATTGTGTTTATTTAATAATCTTAATGATCTTGATGTTGTGGATTGATTATATGTGTGATGTTGTATTTTAATTATGTCTAGAGCTTGTCCCTAGGGTTTATATCGTGAATCTCGTTGTTATGATGTTCTTGGTATATTTGGGTGGGTTTAAGCATGATCGGGTGTTGAGTCTAGCCTAGGATTTGTCTTTAGGACTTTACATATAGATCTCTTGATGTTCTTGAGGTTCCGGATGCACCTGAACCGTTATATGAATTAATGTTGAGTCTTGGCATGTTTAGGAATCGTGTTAGAACGTATTTGGTATGATTCTTGATTTAATTCCGTTAATCGAATCCGTGGTGT